TTTGATAGAGATTGTACTGAATATGTTGACCACTTTGGGTGATACTAGCCTTTTAGTAGTAATTCTTCTCCATTTGCTGGAATCAAATATCTTTGATTACTCATCATTATATTACAGTTTTCATATACATATATTTTACCTCCTTGGTTAAATTTATTTCTAAGTATTTTATTTTAATTTTTGGTAGCTACTGAGAATGGGATTTCATTTATTATTTTTTTATTTCATTGCTAGCATATAAACATGTACCTAATTTTTGCATGTGGACCTTGTATTCTAAAACTTTATTGACTATGTTTATTAGTTCTAACAGATTTTAGTGGTGTCTTAAAAGTTTTCTGCATTTAAATCATGTCATCTGCAAATAGGCAACTTCACTTCTTTCTAATCTGAATGCCTTTTCCTACTTGCTCTAAGATTTCTTGTATTATGTTGAATAGAATTAGCGAATGTAGGTATCCTTGCCTTCTTGTAACTGATCTTAGAGGAAAAGCTTTCAACTTTTTACCATTGAGCATCATGTTGCCTGTATTGTTACATTCTTTGTATACCTAATTTGTTAAGTTTTTATCTTGAAAGGGTGTTGAATTTTGCCAAATGATATTGAAATGACTGTGGCATTTGGGGCCTTCATTTTGTTAATGTAGCGTATCATATTGATTGATACGCACATATTGAACCATGGCAGCATTCCAAAGATAAATTCCATTTACCATAGAGAGTGATCTTTTTAAATGTGCAATTGAATTCAGTTGATAGTTGAGAATTTTTACATCTATATTCATAGAGATACTAGCTTATAATTTCTTTTCTTTAGTATTCTTGTCTGACTTAATATGGGGTGATGCTGGCCTCATAAAAATTTGGAAGTCTTCTCTGTGCATCAATATTTTGAGAGGGTTTGAAAAGAACTGGCATTAATTCTTCTTTAAATATTTGGTAGAATTAAGTTGTGAAGCTATCAGACCCTGGGCTCTAAAGTGACAGGAAACTTTGGATTCAAACTCCTTAGAGTATTGGTCCAATAAGATTTTTCTATTTCTTCATGATTAATTTTGTTAGGTTTTTTATTTAAGGAACTTACTCATTTCTTCTAGGTTAACCAATTTGTTGTTGTATAATTGTTCATAGTAGTGTCATTATGGACCTTTGTAGTTCTGTGGTATCAGTCCTAATGATGTCTCCTTTTTAATTAATGATTTTGGTTTTTTTTCTTAATCTAGATAAAGGTTTGTCAATTTTGTTCATCTTTCAAAAAGTCTTGAACTTTACAATTTTTTAGCCTTATTATATTGCAGTTCTAATCTTTTATTTCCTCCCTCCCACTAACTTTAGTTTGTTCTTTTTCTACTGAGGTACAATGTTTTGGGTTTTCTTATTTTTTGATGAAGTTTATTTCTATAAACTTTCCTCTTAGAACTTTATTTGATGCCAGGTTTGACGGTACATAACTATAATCCCAACACTAGGGAGGCTGGAGCAGAAGGATCCTGAGTTTGAGGTCAGCCTGGGCTACACAGTGAGACCCTGTTTCAAAAACAAAAAAAAACAAAAACAAAAAAACCCAGCTTTTTCTGCTCCCCATCAGTTTTAGTATCTCGTGCTTTCATTTTGATTTGTCTCAAGACACCTTTTAATTTTTTTCTTAAGACTTCAGGACATCTTACGAGATTCTCCCTCCACTTTGTTAGTTATGAGGAGGCAAGTGGTCATGCTGGGAAACATCATTTAGTAAGGAATTGCTAATACTCTATAGGACTTGAGGACAGCCTCTGGCCAAAAGCCTGAAAAAAATAATGAAGCTTTCAGACCTGGTCACAAAGATCTGAATGCTGCAAACAGCCATATGAGTAGTGAAGTCGATCCTTCCAGTTCAGCCTCCAGAAAAAAATCCTGTCCTGTCTGACATCATGATTACAGCCTTGAAATATCCTAAGCAGAGTACTCAGCTAAACTATGCCTTAGCTCCTGACACACAGAAACCGTGAGATGACAAATGCATGTTACTTTAAGCTTCTAACTTTGAGTGGTTTCTATTGCTATGCAGCATCAGAAAAATATTACTGGTGCATTTAGGTTTGAATCTACCATTTTGCTATTTTCTATTTATCCCATCTGTACTTTTCATTTTTCCATTTTCCTGCCGTTATTCATATTGAATGTGTTTTATCTTCTTTGTTGGCTTATTAACTACAAATTTTGTTGTTTAAACCACAAAGGGTCTTTTAGGGTCTTCTTCACAATTACACATTTTTAACTCATCAAAGCCAATATTCAAGTTGTATCATACCATTTCAAGAACAGTATGACAATCTTACAACAGTATACTTCATTTCTCCCCTTCCTACCTTTGTACTATCGTTGACTTTACTTTTACAGGTTATAAATTCCTAGTTATTTTTGTTTGAACAGAATAGTATCTTTGAAATAAATTTAAAGAATAAGAAAAATATATATTTACTCATTCGCTTATCATTTCATTGCTTCTTTGGATGCCTGATAATTCTTTATTAGATGCCAGACATTTCAACATGTTCTGACTACTGGATATATTTTTATTACTATAAATATTTTTAAGCTTTGTTCTGAAATGCAATTAAGTTATGTAGAAAGTTTCTTTTGTCTCTTACTTTTAAGATTTGTTTCCTAAGACTAGATTTGTGCTTGGTCTTGGGATAATTATTCTAAAATATTGAAACAAGTATTCTATTCTTGTACTCAATCCAATCCCAAACCAATCATAAAATTTTATATTCTAGCTGGCAGAAAACGTTACCTCTAAGTCTTTTGGGTAGGTCAATCTTTACCTGGCCACAGGCAGCTTCAAATGTGCACTACTCAGTGCAGGGATGCTCACAGATGACCCTCTGCACATCTCCAGAGTTCTCTCTCTCTCTCTCTCTCTGCAGCAATCTTTCCTTTAGTAAGAGGTGGTCTTGGTCTCTCCAGCCTCAAGCACATCTCCAGAGTTCTCTCTCTGTCTCTCTGTCTCTCTGTCTCTCTCTCTCTCTCTCTCTCTCTCTCTCTCTCTCTCTCTCTCTGCAGCAATCTTTCCTTTAGTAAGAGGTGGTCTTGGTCTCTCCAGCCTCAAAGCTATTTTTCCTCAACTGTGGTAGTTCAATAAGCTCTGCTGGATTCCCCTACCATGCAACACAACATGGAAATTCTCTTAAAGTAGTAAGATACAGCAGCTGTAGGACTCATGTTTCCTGTCTCTTAGGGATTACTGTACTTTGCTGTGTGGTTCCCCCATCTTTTATAACCACTGTTTTAAACATGCTGTCTGTTTACTGGTTGTTTAAGGCTGCAGGGTAAAAGCATAATTCTTGTTTCCTATGAAAAAGAAAGGCTGACTCAGGGCTAAATCAAGAGCACAGAGGTTAGACCAAAGAGCCAAAGAACCTTCTCAAGAAGTAAAACTGAGGCCCTAAATCAAAAAACTTGCAACATATGTTCAACTTAATTTAGAATTACTAGGAGACAGTGACTGCTATGCTTCTCTTGCTTTTCTTTCTCAATGATCGTGCTTATTCCATCTACTGTATACTTCTCTTATTGTTGCATGTTGTTTGTGAATGTATGGAGGGCATGCAGATAATCTGTAGCTAAAGTACACAGGTCTTCAGACTGAGCGGCAAAACATCTGAGCAGCTTCATTTCCATCTGACCTCCCTTTAGATGAGCCCCTGTGCCACAAGGCTCAGCCCAACACCCTTCTGAGATGAGGCTTTCTTAGGAAGATTTGACTATTTTTCATATGGGGAGGAAAATAAATTTGTGGGCAAAGTAAAAACTGTAGAAGTTAATGATGGACACAAATTACTTCACATTTCTCTCATCAAAAGGTCAGATTACGACCTCAATTTTTGAATGCAGATAGGCTCTGACGCAACTTTGACAAAAAGAATATAGTAAAATGGAGTTATACCAGTAACCTGCCAGGCTCCACAAGACTGGCACATTCTACCTCTTCTTATATCTTGGAACTGTCCTTTGGAATGGTAGCTCTAGGAGAAGCCATAAGCAATACAGCAAATCCAAATAACCTGAAATTGCCATACAGAAATAAACTGATACTATCAGGTCCTCAACAGGTCTAGTCATTCCAGATCAAGCACAAGACATATAAAGGAGCTGCTTTGAATATTCCAAACCAGTATACACAATATGAAGACCACCAGCCCTTACCATACAGACCCAGCCATTTCCAGATGTCTGAGCAGAGGCCCCAGCTAATTAAAACAGAGACAAATAATCCTATCAAATGCCCCACCTATAAAATCATGAGATATAAGAAATGGACATTATTATAGCCACTGTGTTTCAAAGAAATTTACTATGTAGAAATAAATAACTGGAAGGGAAACAGGAGGAAAATCAGTTGTTCAATTTGGATATGCCTGTTAAGATGTTAAGTTGTTTGGGTTACATGAGTTCAGGGAAGAGGTCCAGAGTGAAGGCATAAATTTGTAAGACATGCTCCCAGGCCTGTTCAACTTTTCCTTCTTCCACAGTATTTATACCTCTGGCATTTTCTGGATAACTTAGTGTAAACTCAGAGATAAGGATTTTTGTTTTATTCACTAATGCATCCCTGCCTGCATACCAAAGGTACTCAAACACTTGCTGAATAAATAAGTCAACTTAAAAATGGTATCTAAGACATTTTATTGAGATAACCTTAGGAGTGAGCATAGAAAAAAAAATAAAGTTTAAAAATGGGCATTTTAACATTCACAAGTTAAGTAAAGAATCCAGTTATAGATTATTTTAAGATTTGGGGACAAAGCTAAGAGACTGAAAACAGTAATAAGTATAATACTGTCAAGAATCTATTTGTTTTATATATATAACATACAAATATATATATACACACAAATTCTCAAATGCAATTTACAAATAATAAAAAATTAAAGCCATTAAACTTTAACTTATTTGTGAAATCTTAAAAAGAACAAAAACTTTTCTCTATCTTAACATATTAAAAAAATAATCAGATGCTAATATTAAAAATAAATGTGTAGAGCTATGACTTACTCTGGGGTATGTTTTGCACTGATTCTAGGCATTCAACATTTCATGAAAAAAGATTCAGCTTTCACAAAACAAACATGTTTACAAAGAATTACTAAAACAGTTATCTTCCACATTAAAGAAAAAAAAGAGACACTCTCACAGTCTCCTATCTTATAAGTATAGGGTTTTCCCTTGATATCAAGAGTTAAGAACAATAAAAATTTGGAACCTTAGATCAAGTGGGGGACAACAGAATGTGCTCCTGACATTCAGAATACTCTCATTATTTAATATTTGTGATAATCAATATAACCCCAAAACAATCATCTGGCTACAAATTACAATGTTCATACAAACCCCAAACAATGGGAAATTGTATCATTTAGAACAATTACTTTTAAGATCACCAAAATTCAAAGTCATTGTGAAATCCAGAAATAAAGACAAATCTGAATTGTGAATGTTATATTTTCATTATCATTTAATTCTTCAATAGTTTTGAGACATTCCTTTTTCTTTAACAAAGAGAATACATACTGATACTATATGCTACTAGAAAATTAAGAGCGCTTCCATAAATACCTATGAAAATAAATTTCAATTATTACTAGATGCACCATGTCCTATTACAAAAAATATAAAAAGAGTTACCTGCCTAGAAGCAGACCCACTTTTCTCTGAAGCCCTACTTGGCTTCCTAGCTACTCCTTCCAAAAAGCCCTCTATGCTAACTGAATAATTTCAAACACCAAGAAGTAGGTACATCACAGGAATATGAGCAAGTCATCCAAAGCACCTGCCCTTACTCTGTGGTCAACAAATGGAGTCCTCACAAGCCTCCTCACAAGGGAGAAAATGACAGAATTCAACAGGGCATGACTGTTAAGAGTCCCAGAGAAGTCTGTGGGCCTGAGGCTCAGCTGTTTACGCAGATGCAATGGCTATGCAATTGAATCAGATCGGAAGAGGAAATTAAAACAGGAGGCACCCTTGAGTCAGCATTGTTTACTTTTGGTGAAGTCATATGGCTTCCACCACTGAGCAAATTGCAGTGCTTTCCTCCTCTGATCCTCAAAGCTTTCTCGGATGCCTTTCCTCCAGAGTCTTGGTTCTAGATCCAGCATCCCACCAATGATTTCCTTTTAAAGAATGAGAAAAATATAAACACATGCATGTATAAGTAATAATGAAATAGGAAATTAAGCTGTTTGCTTATTCCTGCTGTTAAATATTAAGTTGTTCTCCACCATAATGATCAAATGTTGTTAAATATTAGTTTCAAGTTAGAAATCTTCTTAATTTTAACTATGAAAATGCCATGATTTTTAAGTCCTAACTATGGCTCCTATCAAACAAACAATTTGTCCATTTTGTTGCTCACTAGCGTATCTACCAGATGTGCTAAGAAAGTAATCTTTTTCTGAAAGAAAAGACTGGCAATCAAAGGACCTGGACTCTAATATTTCCCAGAAACTATCAGTGTGAAATGAATCATATACTCTTCTTGGACTAAAGCTTGCCTTAGTCATAAATGAAGAAGTGAGATAATTTGTTCTCTAGTTTGAGCATGATCACAATGATCCCTGGTTCTGTCACTTACAGCATAACCCAGCAAAAGTTTCATAATCTCTCTGTAGCTCAGTTTCTTCACCTCTAAAATGAAAGCTGTAACAGCAGCTACACAGCAGTTGCTGTGAGCATCACATCAGGGTTTAGAATAGTAGCTGGCAAACTGTAAGCCCTTAATGTTAGCAATTATCACCCTTGACACATCTAGCTGACTCCAGAGGAAAACATTACAGTCACTGTTGACATTATTCGGTCATGAAGTGCTGTTCCTGATTTGGGGATATATTTTATTGACACTTTCTAGTTCTCTCTCTAAAAATTCTGTGGAGCAGTACTCATCCACTTCAGTGTACACTGTGCCCAAAGTTTTGATTTCCTTTTCAGGAAAAAAATTTTTTTGATAGCCAAATTACTAACTTCTGGAAATTTATCAAATTTTGGAGTATACCTTTCCAAAGTAATGAGGGAATTTGTGTTGATCTTCAATGACATGGGCAAATCCTCCTTGGAGGCCAAAGTCCACAGAGAAGTAAGGTAAGCCTCTGGGTACCTAATGAAATAGACAAACCACACATGATGCAAAGCACAAAATCAGAAAGCTCCACTTAATTATCCTGCTCCCTGACAGGACAGTAATTAAGCACCCTCCTACACTGAATTTCCAACTGTACAGAAACTTAAGCAAAAACCTAACTTTGTAAGTGAAAGACTTACTTTGATAGCCTTTCAGCCAGACAGTTCCTCATCATCTCTAGCAATTGTAATCAAATCCAATTATTTTCCTGTCCTTGTAGAAAACAGAAAAAGATTCTTAAATATTTTTATATCACCACAGAACTTTTTTCCTAAGACGAGATAAATAGAAACTGGGGATGTTTGCTCATATTTACTTACAATACAGAATGGAAGAAAGGTTTGGTCTTATACTTAGATCTTTGTTTACAATATCACTAAAATCTTTACATGATATACTTATAAAGATAAACAATAATAACCATAAATTTTTTTATTAACTGGAGATGACTATCACAACAGTTAATCAGCCTAATTTCAAAATACCTCTAGGGTTAACTCTCTTCTATCTTTCTCCTCTTCCTTCTCTTCACACACACATACTCATAGTATTTTAAGTTATGTATTTACTGGAAAGGGCATAACTTCTTGCTTTCTCTGTCAAATAAGTAGATTTTGTGTCCTTGAAAGTTTTTCTTCCAAGCACCAATTTTGTCACTAGAAATTGCCCAAGCTGTTCAATTCATAGTGGCAACCATCCCCTCACACAGTCCATATTGGGGCAATGGACTACATATGCTTACTCAGCTGTATGAATCTTGTATTAAGTCCTCAGTAAGGCACAACAAGGAAAGGTATAGTATGGTACGTTAGCTGAATGATTTCTTGCACATTATAAAGCAAGTAAACTGGGACCAGAAAAGAACTGTTCATCCCACAGGAAAAGCATGAATAAAAAATTAGCTTACGAAATATAAAATGCAGAAAAATGGACTACTTTATGACTTGATGTTTTTCTATGTTTCCACATTAAGATAATACTCATGCATAACCTTGACAATTAAGAAAAAAAGTAAAACAAGACATAAGGCTCTAAGTGCATTTCTGATTCTTGTATTTAAATGGCCTCAACCAAATTATTTAACATATCTGAGTCTCATAAGAAATATGAAGCACTTAGTTTTGCCATAAAGATAAAAAAGGACAATGGGCATAAAGTGCCCAGCTCAAATATCAGTACACAGAAGATTATCACTTTCATTTTCATCTTACACTTCTGTCTTCTCTCTGTGCAAACCTGGCACATGAGAACAGAATGGAAGACTCTTTTAAAACTATTTTTATTTTTTTGCCATCTGATCACCAGGTGCAAAAAATGAACCTGAATGGCTAAAATGAAGTTATGGAACTACACTGACTGAAGACAGTACTTTTAAGAGACAGAAAGAAGTAAACTGGAAGAACAAATTTGTGATGACAGCACCCTTGCCTTTTCTTTATATGATACTGTGACAGGCATAATAATGGCCTCCTAAATATACTAATGCCCTCATCCCACATTTGCTATGAATATGTTACCTCACATGGCAAAAAGGAGTTTACAGATGTGAATCAGCTAAGGACCTTGAAATGAGGAGATGAACCTGGATTATACATGGGCTGAATGTAATCGTAAGAATTTTTATGGGTGTCTCAGGACACCCAGAGTCACAAAAGATTAGAAGATGAAGTAAACACTCTTCATTTTGAAATGAAGGAAGGAGCCACAAGCTATGGAATGCAGGCAGCTTCTAGCAACTGGAGAAGGCAAGGGAACTGAATCTTCCTGAGAGCCTCCAGAAGCAATGTAGGCCTGCTGACACCTTGACTATAGCCCGCCAGAACCCACTTCACACTTGTTATCTCCAGAACTATAACAAATGTGTGTATTTTAACCCCCTAGAGTTTATAGAAATTTGTTGTAGCAGCAATAGGAAACGAATATACATACACCAAGATCCAACAACATATGATATATCTGCCAAGCAGCATGATGAATTTACCACTACTTTGATACAAAAGAACTGTGGTCACAGTTCTTTGTTCTTTCTGGCAGGCTGTGGTCTTTCTAGGACAGTTGTTGGTTAGTAGGTATGGCAAAGCACCTAGTATCAGAGTATACCTACTTAGCACTTTCTTTTTACTGCCTTGGCCACCAGAAGGAAAACAGTTGGAACTCTGATACCATTCTTTAAATGCATGAACAGAATTATGGCAAAAACAAGTTATTCATGCTAGAAAAACTGTAGTACCTGAATTTTTCCCTTTTACTCCAGGTGTAACTCCTAACTTCCTATAAGTTTCAAAGTATCCAGTAAACTCAAACTTTCCTTGAGAAATATTTTCCTTATTTAAAAAAAAAGTCCCTAAAAACTATATTTTTAAAATTGCTATAGCTCCCACAAAATTAACCTTAAAACAACATTTTTAACAGCTGAGGAAGACTCCCATGAAATTTCAATAAAACAAGTAGTTATCCATGATCACACAATTCCTCTACACTGAGAACTCAGCTCTGCTTCCCTGTCTACTGCCATGGGCATCATACCACACTGCAAGAGATCAGAAACCAGGAGAGTGGGCAAGAGGGAAATTAATGGAAGGGATGAACCACATGAGGTACAACACATGTACACATGGAAATGTCCTGACGTCACTCCCATAAAAACATCATATGCTAATAAAAATATTTAAAAAATAGGTAAACAAAATGGACAGAAAAGGAAACTTACACTCACATGGCAAAGAAACACATAAATTCAGAAACATCAGAATAAATTACAAATACACAAATGTCGGATGTGAGGGCGATCTGGCTGCGACATCTGTCACCCCATTGATCGCCAGGGTTGATTCGGCTGATCTGGCTGGCTAGGCGGGTGTCCCCTTCCTCCCTCACCGCTCCATGTGCGTCCCTCCCGAAGCTGCGCGCTCGGTCGAAGAGGACGACCATCCCCGATAGAGGAGGACCGTCCTTCGGTCAAGGGTATACGAGTAGCTGCGCTCCCCTGCTAGAACCTCCAAACAAGCTCTCAAATACACAAATGTCAGTGAAAAAGGCTGGAGAAAAACATGAAATTACTAAGGATATAAAGGCTTTAAAAGAAGCTTTTCAGACATAAAAAAGAAATCATTCAAGACTTGTTCATTTCATGTTCAGAAACACCATTTTAAAAAGACACTAGAAAGCTTGGTAACCTAAAAATTGACCTCCCTCGGAATTATTGTTCCATCAAGTTCTGTTCACAATTCCACCCACATAATTACAAAATCCTAAACTAAGAAGCACTCGAGAAGTCACCTGGTTTTTTCCCTGTATATTGTGACTTGAATAGTCTCAGATACAGAACTATGCGAAGCTTAGTAAAGGCAATGCCTACTACCTTCAAAATGCTCTAACGCTGAATATACAACTGTCATTCTTTTAGCAACGAGCTGTGTCTTTGTTAGTTACCATACTGGTTAAGTTAACAGACCTACTGGTGCTTAATTCAGACACTTATCTTGGTACTAAAAAATAAATAATAAGTGCTAGATACTCCATCAATAAGAAAACTGTATATACAGTACAGCAAATGAAACATAATACATTTCTTTTAAAATTTCTACTCTGAGACGTTTCAATTGCCACTAAAATTATTTTCTGAAAGAATATATATTGGCATAGGAAATTATTTAAGCAAAAAACCTGGACACCAAAAAATGTATGTACATTAAACACCTTTTTCTGTAGGCTAACAAGGGAGAGGAGTAAATACGACACTTAGAGTTGTTTTTTCTTTTTCTTTTTTTTTTAAACATATTTCTAGCCCAACTCCTCAGCAAAGGAAGAGGAAAGGATAGCAGAAAGCATTTTACCCCTGAATTAAAATTATGTATCTTTAATAATACTAGAAAAAATTAATACTTACAGATTTTCTGATATCTTTTGAAGACAAATCAATTAACTTCTTATTCATGGACCACTCTTCATCAGATTCCATTATGGCTTTCTAAAAAAAATAGTCATTTGTTAAGTGAAAACATAATAAAGTAGCAATATGCAGGGAGCTGGTTTTAAGTAAAATAGAAGGCTTAATTAAATGTTCTGAAACTGGAATGTCTTTTTTTTCTAAGTCCTATTTTTAGCCAAGAGAGTATTCTTTAATTGTTTTTTTTTCTCCCCAGTGATACTGGAATTTGAATGCAGGGCCTCCTGATTGCTAAGCAGGTGCTCTATCAGTTGGGCCACACCTCAAACCCGTTTTTGCTTTAGTTATTTTTCAGATAGGATCACAAGATTTTGTCCAGGCCTCAGATCATGATCTTTCTACAGAGGTCACCCCCAAAGCTGGGATGACTGTGTGAGCACTTCTGCACCTGGCCTACTTTACTCATTGTAACTCTTGTACTAACTTCACTTCAACCTGACATGAAAAAAAAATCTTTGATAAGACCAAGTAATTTAATATAGAACATTATTTGTGGGTATAAAATTTTACAAATTTCTTTTTGCATTCATAAAATGTACTCAAATAAATTCATTTAGCTTTATGTTTTTCTTCCAAATATCAAAAGAATAATTTATATGCTTTTTGGCTATGAAAAACTTGAACTATTTCTTCCATACAACAAAGATGTAAAAATATACAGAAAAGCAGCTCCAAAAACTTTTAATTGGTTACAAATTCTAGTAACTTATTACATGTTAAAAAATGTACATACTGATTAGGTATTTTTCTTCTGTGAATAGCATAATGAGACATTAAACACTAAAATTTGCATCAATAATTTGTCTTAGCAACTGTACTTCTCTATGTTATTGCTGATTCCTGTTTGTTAATAATCACTTTTCTAGTCATAACCACACTTTGGACTTTACAGAAATTGTAAGTTACTATATGATAGCACATTTATACTTCTAAGCAAGAACATTTTTAAAAATTAAATGTCATTCACCCTGTACAAACATGAACTCAAAATGGATTAAAGACCTTGATGTAAGATAGGAAATTCTGAAACTATTAAAGGAAAATATAGTGAAAACAATTAAAGATATAAATACAGGCAACAACTTTCTTACTTCTCAGGAAATAAGAGCAAGAATTGACTAATGGGATTGCATCAAATGAAAAAGCCTGTACACAGCAAAAGAAACAATCAACAGAGTGACGAGACAATCTACAGAATGGGACAAAAATCTTCTCCAGACATTCATCTGACAGGGATTAATATCTAGAATACATAAACAACTCAAGAAAAAAACAACTAAAAAGAAAACAACAAAAGAGCAAATCAATCCAACCAGCAAATGCGCAATTCAACTGCGTAGACACTTTCCAAGTGAAGAGGTAAAAATGGCAATAAGCTCAGGAAAAAAATGATCAACAACTTTAGCCATTAAGAAGATGGAAGTCAGAATAGCTACCATCAATAAAAAGAGAAAACTAAATGTTCGAGAGAATGAGGGGCAAAGGAACATTCATACACTGTTGGTGGGAATGTAAATGAGTATAGCTAGTATGGAAATCAGTATGCAGTTTCTTCAAAAAATTAATAAATAGAACTTCCATTTAATCCAGCTATACCTTTTCTAGGTATATACCCAAAAGAACCAAAGCTTACTGCATATCCATGTTAATTGTGGCACTATTAATAATAGCCAAATTAAGGAATAAACCTAACTGCCTATCAAATGGATGAAGGGGTATATATGCTATACATACAAAAAGGTAAAATGTATGCATACAATTGTATCCATAGAACAGTACTTCAGCAAAAAAAAAAAAAAAAGTATGTATGCAAACATCGCCCATAAATACCTTAAAGTAGATGGGAGCCATATCACCCACTTCCTTTGGGAGAGGAATACATTCATAAACCATGTGATACTGTTTCTTCAAGCTCTTATTAGTTTCTAAAAAGATACAATCCAATTCTTTATCTTCAAACATCTTTACCAATGATTTCCTAAACATCTAAAAGAAGGAAAATGAAGATACACATGTAAGTACTTCTCCTCTAGGTATGCAAAAGACTTCAAAATGTCAGTTTAATGGCATAACTTCAGGTGATCGACTCCATTAAAAGCAAGGTTTTCTCCAAGTTCACCAGAAAAAATACATTACTTTAAAGTTATGTAACAATAAAACAATGAGAAAAGTTCATTATCATAAGATATATAAACTATTTTATATTTCAGAGAGACGTAGAGATCCCAAATTATGGGCGTGACATAAACTCCCTATATCCCTAGTAGAACACACTTCGTTCCTAGGGATATCCCTATTTTCCTCATTTCTAAACTGCCATTACTCATCTAATTGCCCATTATTCATTTAATCGGTACATCTGAACCAAATTCCTTATATTTAAAGCAAGCTATAGTGCAGAATATTGCAGTTCACAATTTGTATCAAGTCACATTATAAAAATAAATTAAGTACAGATGATTAAATAATTTTGAAACTAAAAGTATTAGAAATATTAAAGCTGTATATGGTTAATTATATATTAGTACTGGGATTCATTCGATTATTTAAAATACAATGTATCTAAATATAACATCTAAATGTTATCTTTTGATAACATTTATCAAAAGATAAATGTTATGAACATATAGGTTTAGATGCATAAACCTATTTGAACAAAATAAATAAAAGAAGACACAATGAAAGCACATCACCCCATAATATCTGACTTGAATTCTAGAAACTTGGTTTATTCTTGAGGGGAAGAAGAAGGCCAGAAGGGATGTCAGGGAACATACCCACCCAAAAGCCTCAAGACCCTCCGGAATTGACAGGAACATATGCTCTGCAAGCAGAGGTGAAAATGAGGCCAAAATCAGATAATTTAAGTGAAAGCTTTTTGAAAAAGCAATTAACATACCAGATCCCCTCCTCACTAGCATAATACTAGGGGATTATTCACTGGAAAGGTAACACATAAGGGAGATGAACTGGGAGAAGCAGACAGAGTTGAGCATATAAATCTGAAACTGGGTATTATAGGAAAGATTACTTCATGTTCCTTACTACTCAACATTCTGTCATTCCTAGCATGCTTGCTCCTCAGCTCCCTGAACACTGGCAAGTAGATGTTGATGATACAGACAGGAGTCTCACAGTCTTTTCTGGAGGGTCTAACTAGCCCCAAGAAAAAGACTTAACAAAACAAACAGTGGCAATTTCCAAGTGAAGTGGCTCCACCACATCACTCTGCAGTGAGGCCCACTCTATACAAACATCAACTGCCCTCCTCCTTCCCCACCCTGCCAATTTGGAATACTTAAAAAAGGGGCCATACAGACTGACTATGGTATATGTTCAAACACATTTTCAAAGTTGTCAGAATAATTTAAAGCAGACAAAGTATCACGATGATTTAAAAAAAAAAAAACACTCAAAACAGTGGCTCCTGCATTTTCAAACAATATTTTGTGTTAAGACAAATCACTTTTCTCATTATTAGCATCTAATAGTTTTACAGGGGGATACATTGTGATATTTACATATATACTTCCAATATAACTTAGATTTACCCTCTAAGTCAAATCACCTTTTAAAATACAACCAATAAAAATGCTCACCATCTCTAGCCATAAAGGAAATGCAAATCAAAACCACACTAAGATTCCACCTCACCCCTGTTAGAATAGCCATCATCAAAAACACCACCAACAACATGTGTTGGTGAGGATGTGGGGGAAAAGGAACTCTCTTACACTGTTGGTGGGAATGCAAACCACTCTGGAAAAAATTTGGAGGCTTCTTAAAAATCTAAACATAGACCTGCCATATGATCCAGCAATACCACTCTTGGGGATATACCCAAAAGAATGTGACACAGGTTACTCCAAAGGCACCTGCACACCTGTGTTTATTGCAGTGCTATTCACAATAGCCAAGTTATGGAAACAACCAAGATGCCTCACTATGGACAAACGGATTAAGAAAATGTGGTAATTTATACACAATGGAATTTTACTCAGCCATAAAGAAGAATGAAATCTTATCATCTGCAAGTAAATGGATGGAACTGGAGAACATTATTCTGAGCGAGGTTAGCCAGACTCAGAAGACCAAAAATCGTATGTTCTCCCTCATATGCCATCTTTAGATCTCGGGCAAATACAGCAATGTTGTAGGACTTGGGTTACAGGACAAGGGGAGAACACATACAGGAGGTATGGGGTTAGACAGAAACCCAAAACATGAAACATGACAGCATTTGATGTCCCCACTCCAGAGGAATTAATACAGAAACTTTAAGGTGACAGAGGTCAACATGAGAAGGGGATCAGGAACCAGTGTAAAGATCAGTTAAGAGTTGAATCAACCTAGATTGTAATATATTTGTACATGAAAGCAATGATAGGAATCTCTCTGTATAACTGTCCTTATCTCAACTAGCAAAAACACTATGTCTTTCTTATTATTGCTTATTTCTACTCTTCAACAGAAATGGAGAAAAGCACAGAACCAGTTCTGCCTGGAAGCGAGGGGGGGTTGGGGATGGGGGTCGGTGGAGAAATGACCCAAACAATGTATGCACATGTGAATAAATGAATAAAAAATAAAATAAAATACAACCAATAAAACCAGTGAAAAAACATAAAGATATTCACAAAAATAAGATAAATTTGTGTTGTGGATATAGAGTTGACAGTAAAAATAAACCAAAAAAAAGAAAACAACTGCCCTTCTTTATGCTAGCTTTTAGATATTGTGTTAGCTCACTAGCCTACAGCAGTATGTAATTTCTGGTAATATTTTTTCTTATATCACACAAAAAGAGCTATAATGCCATTATGTACACAGAAACAATTTGGCTTTTCCTCCTCACTCAGTCTTCTATAAGGCATCTGGCTTACAAAACTGCTAAATTTTAAAATTCTGCTAAAATATAATGTAGCCTGTACTAGACTATACTATACCTTTGGGCAAAATTAAAGAATTATTTCTACTTCTGCATTTCTCACAGCACCTAAAATAACATATCCATGTACTTATTATCTGTTGAACTGAATAAATTCCTTTATCTACCTCAATGATCTTCATTATGTATCTAATATACAAAACATACACACTAGATTCTTATAATTGATTAAATACTTTGGCACTGTATTTTACTCCAAGTTGAATAAGTTTTATATGCATAAATCTTAAATGCATCCCAGAAAAATTCTAAAATAATTCTAAAAGCCAAATTTCCATAGTTTTTACCTCAAATTACCTACTGTTATGGCACTCAATACTAGAAAAAAAAATTTTCACATCAAAAAAACTTGACTACATTCTTACTCTTGTTTGGCCTTGGATACAGCAAAATAATCTGCCCTTTTAACTTTGACAGCATAAACTTAAAAAGCACAGGGAGGAAGAGACTAAATAAATTTCAGGCAATGCAGTCAAAATATGACCTCTCCTGCCATCTCTATCAGCATTCTGAAAATAATAATATAGACTGCAGTCTCTCTTAAAGTCTTACAATTTTCACATTTCCTAACTAGAGCTCCCTATAACATCAATTAAGTTGTCAGGCATTAAAAAACTAAAGTTTGCTTTCTTTCTTGGTTATTATGAGGTCTTAAATTGTCATACATATTTGAAATTCAGCAACAATTTGAATTCAGTAACAATTTCACAGTGTTGTGCCTTTCAGCCTCTCAAAGAATCAACCAGAGAAACAAATCTCTGAATCCAAAAGCTGGACCAGGATATGACAGGGAAAGAGCAGAAATAAAAGCAGTAACAAAATCACTGCCACACAGAAGCCAACTCCATGCCAGGAAAACATGGCAATGCTAACTGCAAACCTCTAACTCCTCTCATTTCTTTTTATTACTGGAAAATTTCTTTCCTTTTGGTGAAATTTATTAAGAATGATTGCCTCCTGCTACACAAAACACTGATTAAAAATCTTAGGTTGATTTTTTATAGTAAAAATAATTATTACTTTGTCACAGTTTATTTGGCAAACAAAAGCTTTAAAAAATAGGGGAAATAAAAGGCTGTGTGTGATGCTGGAAACATGATCTAAATACATATACAACTATGAAGATGAAATATTTAAATTTAGAAAACAAAAACATTGAACACAGGTATAAAACCTATTAGAATTTAGCTTTATAGTGAGAAGGAACACCATCCTGCTAACCTGAATTTCTTCCCAGATGTCTTCATCCAATAAAGTAGCTGCTCGATGATGCTGCAAAGGGACTATAAGACAGTGTCCCTCAGTAAGAGAACAGAAGTTGGGTAAACATAAATAAACCTATGGAAAAAAAAATCCAAAGTAAAGTGATGTTATTATAAGTTGCAACAAGTGAGCCCTTGGTAGAGGGGAAAAAAGGGATACTTAAAGTACACTCACTTATAAGAAAATTTTCATTTTAACATTCTCAAAAATTGTTTATATTTAAAAAGAAATTAAAATGGCTTTTAAATTTAGGGTACAAATATCAACTTTCATTACCATTTATTGGACAAAGACGAAAGGACAAGAATGAATGACACTTTATCCTTGATCTGAGGGGCCGTAAACTTTGAAAGTCCTTGATACAACACAATTTTTGCAAGGATAAAAAGATACATGGCCTGTAATGGTAGAGTATCTAAATGAGGACTATTAATCAGGCCTTCCTCCTCTCATTAGCTAAGAAAATAGAATTAACCCAGCTAAGAGGGAGAGGAAATGACCTTGGAATGGCTTTATTGTTCTGGCTAAGCTCTGGTTATTTGCACACATGTATCACCTAACTCTGGTGCTATTTTTCATATTCAAATTGTCTTTAAAAAAAAAAAGGTCAATTAGCATCTACACAGTAAACAAAAGTTTTCATGAGAAGTATAAGTAATATTCTGCAAAACGGCTTGATATTATTTTCTATAATTCCTTGTGAGGTTTTCTAAAGATACTTTAAAATAATGCAAAGTTTTGTTGTTTTTGTTTTTTTGAGATAGGGTCTCCCTTCGTAGCCCAGGCTGGCCTGGAGCTTGCAATTCTCCTGCCTCAACCTCCCAAGTGCTAGGGAAAAAAATACAAATATTTTCAACCTTGCTGAGAAAGGACAAAATAGGAGTGGGTATAGATATTTTTTTTTTTATTCATTTATTCACATGTGCATACATTGTTGGGCCATTTCTTCCCCCTGCCCCCTGCTCCCACCCTCTCCCCCACACCAATATTTATTTAAATTTACAGTGAAATCACAAACACAGTTCAAAGAAAGGGAGAGAGCAAACAAATGAGAGCAAAGGTGAGCAAGGCCTGAGAATGTCTGTGGAGTATAGAATGACTACTGAGATCATTCTAGAGAATCAACAATGAGCACAGTGACATAAACCCCTGCCCATGGGAGTTTGTGGAGCAATATGCACAAAATATTTGTGTCTTCTCAAAATTCACATGTTAAAAGGTAAGGCTTTGGGAGTGATTACATCATGAGGGTGGAGACCGCATGAATGGGAATAGTTTCATTGTAAAAGAGGCCCCAGAGAGCTTGCTTGTCCCTTCTGCCATATGAGGACATAGTGAGAAGACAGCTGCCTATGAAACAGGCCCTCACCAGATACTGAATCTGCCAGAGCCTCAGTCTTGGACTTCCCAGCCTCCAAAAGTGTGAAGAGAAAAAAAACAAAAACCCCTGCTCTTTGTAGCCATCTAGTCCATGGTATTCTTGCTGCAACATCCTGAATAGATAGACTAAGACATAGGAGAAGAAAATGTCAAATAAATAAGCAAAATGTATAGCATTTCAGAAGTAATAAGGGGGACACTAAGCAAATTAAAATATATATACATATATAAATGGTATCTAAGGAGAGGTTAGGAACCCCACTTAATAGTTACCTGCTAGGGTGGCATTTGAGAAGACTTTAAGAAGGGAAGAAAGATATCTGAAGGAGGAAAGGTGCTCTAGGCAAAAGGAACCACATATGAGGGAGCATACTAGCTGTGTTCCCCAGATAGTGAGGCAACCAGTATGGCTCAGCTGAAAGAATGAGAGTAAGGGGGCTAGAAAATGTGGGGTCAGAGAAAGAACTGGGCCTGAACTCCTAGTAGGCCAAAAAAAGGATTCCAGCTTTTGTCTAAAACCCAGATCTGACTAATTTTGACGTAAATTTTAAAATATCCCTGGCTACAAGGAAACTATTATAAGAGTTCAGCAATAGATTATGATGGCTTGGACCAGGGTAGTAGATATATAGGTTAAGAGATGTGATTACAGTAGATATATATTTTGAAATAGTGCCAATAGGATTTGGTTAAAGTATTTTAGGTCTGAAGAAAAGAAAGGACTCAAGTATTACCCCAACAATGAGCTAAGCAATTAAGAGGATGAAGATGACTTTACTAAAAAGACGACTGTGGGAGGTAGGTGTTCGCTGAGGGTAAATACCAGAGCCAAGAATAGAATCACTCAAGATCTGAGCTTCATGTCATTTAAATATTTAAAAGTGCTTTACAGAGATACTAAGAATTATGGTGACTTCAAAAAGAAAACTATTTGAAACACAGAATAAAAGGAAGACATTCTTCAGGAATCTTTTCAAAGTATGAAAAAAGGCAAATCTACATATACTAATCAATCTTTTCCTTGGGTAATAAATGTTATATTTCTTACCTTAACACCTATTGCAACAATAAGGTGCTTAGGAAATTGAGAGCTGTCAAAACAGTACAGACATTTTTCCATTTGTGCAGCAAGACTCTGATGCTCAGCAATAGCTCTTTTCCTCTGGCTCTCTTCTTCACCCTGACGTGCCCTCTCAGCTGCTTTGGAGACAAACATGTCATCCAGAGTATAACCATCTCCATCTGTCCTTCCCATAAACTGAAAAATCAAAGTAATAGTATTGTGGGACAAAAGGTAGCAGTTAAGATTTTATTGTACAATGGCATCCTGAAGTCAAATCTGTAAGTTCTATAAGAAAGCTCATACATTTAAAACAGAAAATATGATTAAAATTTAAGACTGATCCTCAAAATCATGGTCAACATCAACATCATCACAGCTAAAGTTTACTGAATATTTACTAAGTGCCATTCCATGCTATTTTCACTTAAGTGACAAGGAAACTGAAGCATAGAGAGGTTAAGTAACTACTTTCACTATACAGAGCATGAAATATTTTTGAAGGTACCTGATCTCCAGGCACTTTCTCCACATCTCCCCCAACATAAACTGTATTTGATGCTTTTATTTTGGGCCCTGCTTAAAAACTTTAAAGAGTTTACATGGTGGACAGGGTTCAAATTTGGAGGTAACCATAGATGCAAAAAGGCACAATGATTAAAAGCTTGGGTTCTGTAGTCAAAATAACCATGGTGAAATTCTATCTCCTTGAGCATGCTATTTAGTCTCTATACTTTCTTTTAGTTCGTTGTTTTACAATACCTGTAACAATATTACCTATCTGTTACAGTTATTCCTGAAGCACACATCTAGCAATAATAAAGAGTCACAAATGTGAGCCACTGCTGTTATTACAAATCTCTTCATGATCTGGCTTTGAGGGTCTCTCCAATAATCTGAACACATCCCTAATGCAACTCTATGCTGTAGCAACCCTATTTATAGCCCCCCAAAACACTGTTACTGTCTAGCTTTGCACATGCTGCTCTCTGGCCAATTCTGCCTTCAATGTTGCCATTCTTCTACTCATTCTTCAATCCTGGGCTTAGATCTAGTTGTCAGCTCCATGAAAGAAATTTTCTCAATCTTCTAAGCCCCTCCAAGGTGTATCTGTACAACCATCCATCTCATGATGATTACACTGTTATCATTAAGAACTTTTTCTTTTATTAACTATTTTTTACTCTATTAACTACATATCAAAAGAAAATCAAAACTATTTTTAAAAACTCAGTAACAAAGCAATAGGAAGGTGCTTGGATCTTAACAGATGCTTAAAAAGATTTAAAGACAGAGGAGCTCTACTCAAATCAAAGTATAGTCTAGAGCAAAGAATGTTGATGAAAGATAAAGGTCATTTCACAATGATAAAACAGTAGCATCAGCAAGAAGACTCAATAATCCTAAAGTTTATGCACTTAAATAAATCCAATCAAAGCATAGGAGAAATAGGTAAATCCATAATTCAGAGATTTAAACACAATTCATAATTCTTAGAATAAGCAGAAAATTAATAGGCACATAGAAGACTTAAACATATTATGAACCAACTTGACCTAAGTAACATTGATCAAAATTCCACTCAACAACAATAGAACATATGTTCTTCAAGTGGGCATGGAATATTTACTAAGAAAGAGGACATTCTGGGCCATAAGATAATTCTCAATAAATTTAAAAAGATTATAGTAACAAAGTACATTCTCCAAGCACAATGGGTTTGAGTAACAGAAAGAAGTGTGGAAAAGTGCCAAGGCTTTAGAGACTACACACAGCACTCCTGTTTGTTTGAGACAGAACCTCAATATGTAGCCTCAAACTCACTATCCTCCTGCCTCAGCCTCCCAAGGACTGAGATTATAGGCATTTGCCACCATACCTAGCCACATTTGTGCGACAACTAAATTGAAGGGTGCTTAGCATATAAATGAGCCTCTCTCTCTTAATAAACCAATCTTTGAAACAGAAAGGGTATTTTGTGAATACAGTATATGAGACAGAATAAAGATTTAAAAGTAATATTTCCTCTAGAATAAACAGACCAAATAAGGTTAATGCACTTATCAAAGGGAACACAGATATCTAGTAGGTATTTATCTTATCTAAAATAAGAGAATACACACTTCTATATATAAACTATGTCCTCAGATGATGTAGAAGACTGTTATAAATTACAGGAAAGTCATGCAATGTTTTGTACATGGAAAATGTTCCTTAAATCTAAGTTGCATGGATGCTGCCAAGCCTGTCTGATTTATTGATAAGAGTTTGAGTTGATTATGATATAGGCTTACTTACCCAATGAAATCTGACTGATTGCATAACACAACTGAAACATTGTTCTCAATATCCAAGGGCAATAATTATGATTCCCTCCTCTCACAGCCTCTGGACATTTGCACTTTTGCACTTTATCTTCTCTTTGGGATTTGATCAAAAATGTTCTCAGTTTATCAGTAACTCATACGTCTTCTGTAACCTTTAGCTTACCATACTCTCATACCTGGTAAAAATAACTGTCATTTTTAGTGAATACACTGTCAACAGGTAGTGGAAAATGGATTATGTCTAGAAGGGAAAAGCCACAAAAGTGCTGGAGAAAAGGAGGTAAAGGAAAGAGGGGCATGAAAATACGCCTCTTCATCATTTAGGCAAAATCATAAAAGAAAGATTATGATAATGGTAAGTTCACCATAAAATTTAATACTCAAAATGTCTATGCCCAATAAATCAGAAAAACATAGTAAAGTGGTTTAAGAATTGAAGGAAGAAAATAAACAAGAATATCCTAAATGCTATATAGCTTTAATGCAGTCCCTATTAAAATCCCAATGACATTTATTGCAGAAAAATGTCCATCCATCCTGGATGGGGCATGGAGATACACAACTGTAATCCCACTCTTAGGAGGCTAAGGAAGGAGGATCAAGAGTTCAAGGCCAACCTGGGCTACTCAGCAATTTTGAAGCCAGATGTATAGGGATGAAGAGGGGAAGGCTCAGAGAAGCAGGGTAAGAGAGCTAAAAAGTACAAGATTTCCTTTTTGTGTGTGTGATACAAGGACCTGGCGCATGTTAACCAAATACCTTACAGCTGAGCTCCACTTTAAGAATTCCTTTTGAGGTGAGAAAAATATTCTAAAATTGACTGGAGATAGTTGGACTAAAAACCACTAAAAACCACTGGATTGTACACTTTAAGTGGGTGAACTGTATCCTCTCTAATTTTATCTTAATAAAGCTGTTTAAAAATAATTCACTTTATCCAAAGAGAGGTATGGCATTTGCCCTCTGCTCCTCAGACACTATATCTAAGTTCCTATAATGTAAAATATTATAAGGTCATATTTGTTTACCTGGGAATCTTAGGTCATATGAGATAATAAATGCTAACAATGTGCTTTATTATGTAGCCGTGGACCACATAATAAAGAGTAGCTGGAAGCTAAGGTCAGAAACATGGGCAATTGTGTCTATGTGACAAAACTCTAATAAAAATTCTGTACACTAGGGCTTGAGTGAGCATTTCTAGTTGTCAATACCCTGCGTGTATTATCACACAGCAGTCCCAGGAGAAGTCAGCATTGTGTATAACTCCACTAGGATAAGACAACTGGAGCTCTTCTAGACTCTGTTCCATGGACCCCTTCCTTTGGATAATTTTAGTCTATATTTCCTCTCCCTAAACCTTAACCATGAGAACAATAGCTTTTGATGAATTCTGTGAGCTCTTCTAGCAAATATTGAACCAGAGGATTGGTGGAGGGAGCCTCTGAACTTGCAGGATGTGTCAGAAGTAAGGGTAGGTAGGCATTTGACTCATAGTCAGGGACTTAGAATGCAATCTGGGAATTGGTGACAAGGAGGTCTGGGAAAGGAGCATGTCAACAGACCTCTCCAAAAGGGTAGGGTGGGAAGATATTTGAGTCCCATGTGAAAATATTTATGTCAGCAACTACTCCCTGACGTCCCCAACAAGTTTATGAAGAAGTGGCCATGCAAAGTTGCACAATGTACAAGAGCTCAGCGACGTGAACTTTCACTCACCAAAGCTGGTCCAACTACATTCACTGCTGAATGCCCAATGTGCCAACTAAGACCAATACCTAATTGACACGCTCCCTGGGGGTTCAGGCAGCTGCCTGGTGACAGTATTAACACACTTGACTGCTCCCATCATGCAAATAGTAGTGATTTATTCTGAGAGGAATAGACACTTTCTCTGGATATATAGTTAGCTTCCTTGCATGCAGTGCTTCTTTCCAAGCTACTATCTGGGGTCTTCTACCACCATGGTGTTCCACACATCATTCTCTAATCAACAAAATAATCTCACAACAAATGAGGGAGGGCAATGGCTCCATGCTCCTTGAATTCACAGGTTTTCCATGTTCCCCATCATCCTGAAGTAGTTGGAAAGAGAATAAAGAACAGGCCTCTTTGAAGCCTTGATTACACAAGCCAGCCAGATGGCAACAGCATGTAAAAATGGAGTACTGTCCCCTGGCATGATTCTGTTGTCTGGCCTAGGTTAGACAGTAGTACTATGTACCAACACAGGAAGCACTGAAATGAACCAGATTCAGAAAAGGGATATATAATCACAGGCAAGCTATTGGCTGCCTCTGAGCATCAGTTTTTGTTTATTAAATGGGGTTACCATCAATGCTGACAGATAATTTTAAACATTAATGTATGTAAGGGATCTGGCATACAGCAAGTCTTCATAAAGTGGTAGCTGTTATTATGTTCTCCCAGACTCCCAGGACAGTTCTCAGAGGCAATTTTGTAACCACTCTATCCCCCAAATGTCCCTCCTGGGACATTTGGCAATGTCTGGAGACATTTTTGGCTGTCTCAACCTCAGGGTAAAAGGAGTTGCTACTGGTGTAGACTGGTAAGATGCTGCTGAACATTCTACACAGATAGCTCTTCCACAAAATGTCAAAGTACTAAGGCTGTGAAGCCATGTTCCAGAAGGAGTCTGATTACATTACAGCAGGAAGGAAAGTTCTTCCCTGTTAACTAATGATAATGAACTTGGGAGTTAAACTGAAGTAATACTGATACTTGTTTAGTCAGTGTCTAAATTCAAGCCTAGAAATGTTAGAAGCTAGTGAATTAAGAGCCTAAATATTAAGGATACAAAAATATTAAATGTCTTCTAACTATGAAAAGTAATTTTTTCCCATTTTGAGT